TTTATTTTATTTTTGCAAATATGATTTATTCTGAAGCAATATTCTTATCAGTTTTCTATCAGCTGTGACATAAATCAGCATGTTTTTTTATATTTAATCCAAAAGCATTTTTTACCTTTATAAAGGGTAAAGCATTGAATAATGTTATGAGATTGTTTTAAATGTTTTTTTGGAATATACAAACAAGAATGGTGGAAATGATACTTTTTAACTAAATTAAAACGCCAGTAGGTGCCAGTAGAGAGCGTTTATTGAGCGAGTCACCGAGTTGTTCATTTAACCCTCATGTGGTGTTCGGGTCCTTTTTGCTCTGAAAAAAAAATATTTTTCCCGAAAATACTAGTTAATGTTATCGCATTGGACTGAAATTTTGTGACTTTGTTCACAAAGGGTATAACTACTTCTAAAATTTTTTTTTATAATTTTCATACTTTTCTGGGGGAGATTTTTCACCTTGTTGCAAATTTTCTTCAGTTTTTATTTAATATTGTGAAAATTATTCATAAATAATGCTTTTTTCACTCAAAAAATGAGGTGCCTACTCTCAGATAAACGAGGCCTACGATTAATCAGAAGCAAATATAAATACAAAACCAGTCCTAAATGAAAGAAAATAAGTTGACAAAAAGATTGAATCCAATCTTTGGTGGTAATATTGCATAATGAGTGATTTATAAGCAATTTTTTGAGGCCGGGTCATTTTTGCTCTGTAAACTCGTAAGTGTGATAGGGTTCTGAACACAACACAAGGTTAAGCGATTCGTTCAAATGGCAGATTAATCAGATGTTTATGCATGGACTAATGAAACTTTGCCTCAACTGATTCGCTCAGAACCAGTGTTGCCAATTTGGGGATTTTGTCGCCAAATTTAGCAGTGTGTTGACTGAAATAAGTTTGTATGAATAAAGTTTTTGTTTTTGGAGAATCATAATATCTCTTATCTGTTGTATTTGAGCAGGACAGGGATGCAATTTGGTGACACATAAAACAAATTTCCAACATTGTGTCTTTCCATCATTTCCATCATGTTTGATGTGCTTGTAGATCACAAGCATTTCCTAATTTCACTTCAGAATTTTTTGTTATATTTAATCTTTTGTTATATTTTTTATACTGTCATCATTTGTAAAGTATATATATATATTTACTTTCCTTTACCTTTACCAAATTTACCTGTATTTACTTTGTTTTCATATTTGGCGACTTTTTGTGAAAAATGGAGACTTTTGAGAGTGGTTCTAGAGATTTGGCAACACTGCTCAGAACACGGAATCATTCAGCAATGAATCGGCTGTTTGCTGCGAGGTGCGCTGTGGTTCCGCCTAAAATGTAAGTGACCTAATATTATTGTAGCCTACTTGCTTAACTTATTGAACTATTAAACAGTCGTAATGGTGAAAACGTTGTGTGATGTTGCCTAACTAACTGTATTTTAAATATAACAATTTTTCACCTTGAATTTTTACCTTAGCATGCTTACTTGTCTGGCGTTAATGACGCGTTAATGTCGAGCCCTGGAGTCTATGTGCCGGGACTCAGCCCCGGACGGCCCCGGCCCAATTTAAACCCTGGTTGTAAGTATAAATCTAACACAATTTAGTTTGGTTTATGCTAAAAACAGGAGGGAAAAACTCTTTGCCTGGGGGATAAGAAAAATAAAATAAATTATTGTCAGGTTCTCTGAGAACAAGTCCAATTACTTTTTTCACATTTTTTATATGATTTTAAAGATGGTTTTTCTTCTGCATCGTTAAAACATCATTATCTATCTGATAAATCAACTATAATATAAAAATAATAATTGTTGTAACTTCATTACACTGCAAAATGTTCTATGGCTAAAACTTTTCAAAGGTCAATGGTAAGTCAGTGTGCTCACCAGCTTTTGACAGAGTTGTGCCGGGGAGCGCTGAGAACAGCAGGATATGGCCAAGTCCAGCCATGCTTGTGTCCGCTTCTCTCCTCCCTCTCCCTGCACCTCCTTCTGCATCCTGCAGGGAATAAAGCACTGATGAAGAGATTTCCACTGATCTACAACCAGCTCCTTCCTTTCAAATGCCCTGTTGTTAAATAACATCTACTGACGATGTTGTTTTCTAGTCTAACCGTGACTTACCGAGTTTTGAACGCAGGCAGGTCCAGTCTGAAGTACCGCGAACAAGTGTCATCCAACTTGGACAGAAGTGCCTGAGTCATTTTCAATTTACTCTCCTGTCCGATAAAAGTTGAGAGAGAGAAAAAAAATGAAAGAACAGTTTGACCAGTAATCCAACCCTTAAAATCAAAAATGACTATGTACTGTATTTTCCTCGTCAATGTACAAAATCAAGCAGCGGGAGAGAAGATGAGAGTACCGTGTCGTTGTTATGACAGCTCGGGCTTGGATAGCACCCAGCGAGTACAAAGAGCCCCCTGTCGCTCTAAATTAACTGAAATCTCGCAACACTCTCTCGTTGGCGAGCGAGCTCCATTTGTGCATGCTAATGATGTACATTCATTCTCTGGATACAGATGCAGTTGCGCCCTTCATTTAGATGCTCTCACCAGCAACTCTTTGCACTTCGCCATTTACTGTATGTGGAAAAAACAGCGAGCGAGCAGATAATTGGAGGATCTGCAAGGGAAAACTGAAAGGCTAAATTAACCAAACGGTGACGCGCTTTAGATCAGGTTACCTGTGAGATTTTGACATCATTGTCAAGCAGGGAAAAGTAGTTCTCATAGAGCTCCAGTTACAGCATTAAAATAGGATTTCATCAAGGTTATTTTTCTCAAGCATCTTTATGCAATGCTGTCTACCTCAACTCAGTGTGATTTCGTCTTGTATTATTGGCAAAAGAACCTTGGAATCCATCAGCATAGCATTTCAGCTCTGATGAGAGCTTCAAACAATACGATCCCAATCTCAAAACCAATATGAGGCTTCACAGCAAAATGAAGTCACTCAAGTGAGGCATTGTGCTGCAAATGATCTAGACATGCATCAAAAAGATCGCAGCCTCTCACAATAGCCGTCCACGCAGGGTTTGAGCTATCTTACTGTCACAAAAAAACACAAGCACAAAACACAAAAACCACTTGAAATCTAAAGAATGGCCTGGTTGTGTAATTCAAATAACTGAAAACCTGCTGCTAAGCACAGAACATGTGGTTTCAAATCTACCTGTAATGAAACAAAGATCTCCTGTCATGAACCAGAGACTGGTAGATCTTGTCAGTCTCAGGAGGAATAGCGTCATCTCACCTTCTCTGTTAAACACGTTGTGATGTCAGCAGATGAGCAGCAGGCCGTTACTGTGTTCTTGATTCGATCGAGAACGGTCGTCAGCACAGGGAGAGAAATGGAGGCATGATTCACTCCAGTTAGAAACAAGTATCTGGAAACACACACACACATATGTATATACATACATAAACACGCTTTTGATTTCATTCTATACATTGACTTCTGGATACATGCTATTTTGTAATTCTCCTGCTGTGTCATACATCATGAGTTTATTCCTTTCTCGTGGCCACTACTATAAATGCTAGTTCTGAGGGCAGGCCATGAGCAGAAATGTTCAGCCAACCAGCAGAAGGCTGCAAGACCTCAATGTGTTTTGAAAATAATCTCTATAGGAGGTTCTGGTCTCTTCACCCTAGGTTTCACTGTAATACTAGGACGTGTTTATTTAGTATTTGAATTATTTGCTATGTCTTTAGTCTAATAACTAGTAGTATGCACTGCAGACAACATGCTGTCTTTATATCATAATAACTATTTCTCACACAGTTTAAATGGGTCTTTATAGGAAGGGGCCGTTCCCAACTAACACATTTAACCAGACTTCCTTCTAACACGTTACTAAACATTATACTATCCTTTAGAATTATCATTAATATAATATTATCAGTGTTATTTTAGTGTGTGTGTGTATTTATATATATATATATATATATATATATATTAGACTTGTGC